AGGTCTCTGGTTGGGACCCCGGAAGAAATGTGTATACAACAGAAATCCAATGGAATAAGAAAATAATCATAATAAATAAGCAAATACAAAAACCTGGAGATGGAAAAAAAAAAATGTGCCACTTAAAAAACTAAAACTATTCCTGTTGGAACTTTGGGTCTGATAAAGAAAAGAACTCAAAAACAAATCAACAGAAACCCTGGAGAACCATCTCTCCAGGAAATGCAAAAAAATAGTTCTAACTAGCACAAGCCATTTCCTGCAAAGAGCTTTTAGCCCATTTAAGGTATTTTTTTCATTTAAAGTTTTTTTGGTAATGGCTGCCTTTGACATAAAAAAGGTAGAAATAAAAGAAAATAACATCCTTCGCTTCTCCTAGGCCATGTGACTATAAAACAAATTCAGGTCAAAAAGATGTTTATAATAATAATAATCTCTCTACATCGCAATGCGCCTTGTAAATGCTTGACATCATTGGGAGTTCGCAGGCGGAGACGCTGTTTGGAACAGCTCATATACTAAGGAAAGTGTTGTGTCTCTAATCTGTGGGTTGAAGCTGAAATATGACTATTATAATATGAGTCGGAATAATAATAATAATAATAAGTAGAAGAAGAAGAAGAAAGAAAAAGAAGATAAAATTAATAAAACAATTTTCTTGGTCAGAAAGCGAAACTGGTAAGTGTAAGAGATCAGACAGATACTACACTATGATACAAGTTCGTAAAACTTAACGGTCAAACATACAAACAAGTAGAATAACAACAACAACAAAAACAACAACAACAACAACAATAATAATAATAATAATGACTCTTGCATGAGAGAACTGTAGCTATTTAAAGAACTAAAACCAAAGAATTGTTAAAGTCGGCGAGACTCTTAAGGCGAATGCACGAGGTTTGAGGTTACTTTTGTCATTGAATCCCAACGATAAGTAACAGAATTCACTCCATGAGAAATTGCACATTATTAAACTTCTAAACAATAATAATCTATTAAACAATAGACATGAGTTAACGGTTTTTTGTCGTCATCATCAGATTTATGGTTTGAATAATTATCTAAAAACAAGCATACAATATAATAACTTGATTAATCCATAGCCCAAATAAATAGTTTAAAAAGATAACCCTTTATGAAGTTGTCAAAAAAACAAACGTTACGGCAGATTTTTTTATATGCACAAATCCCTTTCATCATAAAAAAAAATAAAAAATAAAAAAATAAATCTCCATAGACACGCATACCAGACTAGGGTTAATACATCTTCCGTTTAAAATTTAGACACCCCCACCTTACCCTGACTTGACATCTATGAAAGTAACTCTATACTGATACTTATTATTAACACCCAACACACGCCTACCCAATTTAAACAATTCGCCCTAGCTGTTACTATGGAAATTTTGATTTTTGATTTCAATTATTAAAACACGTAAATTTCAGAAATACGTTATTCCCAAAAAAAATTCGCTTGAAGATGGAACAGAGCTTACTTTAACCCAATTTAATTCAAATAATTATATTGAAGTTTTCGGCTCTTGTTTTGAAACATGAGACCTCTTATGTCGCGAGTTGGAATCATATTTTTAAATAAATAACTATATATATATATATATATATATATATATATATATATATATATATATATATACTGGTGCAACAGCAAAATTGTCCAAATTGTATAACTGCAAAATTGTTCAATTGTTCTTATTGGAATTCTCCGAGGTTTTTATAAAACTATTACACTCTACCTTTGAGCAATAATAAGAATGTATAATTACCCTCCAAGCTTAACAGAAGTATCGTGTTGAAATCGATCATAAACGAAAATGACATGTTCATCATTAATTAATCGTAGTTAAGGATCAGAAGCTCATGAAGGATTGAAATGAAGTTCAAATATATATATATTATTCCAGGATCATTTTCCAACTTATTCAATGATCTTCACCCTCTCTAACCTTCTAATTTTCTGTCCTGGAATAACAAGATTTCACGTACGATTTCATTTTGAAGTGTTTTTTTTTTACTGCTCTTTGGACAATCATAGGTGAAACCCTCTCTCACTTAACAAACTTCTTATGAATTGAGTTGGATCTTTTCTAATTGATCTCTTAAGCTCTAAGTTGAAATGATGATCCCTCTTCCTCTTATATAAAAGTTTATATAAGTTATCCTCCGATAAGAAAAAAAAATATATATATATATATATATATATATATATATATATATATATATATATATACATATTCTTCGGGCTGTTGTCCTCCTCATTATTGTCAAATTCACGATGCTTTGGCCGTTGTACGCTCCGGCCCTTTTCAGGTGATATACGTTTGAATTTAGAACCGAACTTTTTATTTAGGGCCATGCCTTTTCTGGATATCTCAGTTTTCAGTTAATTCTATTTAGTAACACAACAGTTTTTTTTTTTTGTTTCCCTCAGCTGTGGCCAGTCACAAGTGGAAAAAATATCTCTCTCTCTCTCTCTCTCTCTCTCTCTCTCACACACACACACACACACACACACACACACATATATATATATATATATATATATATATATATATATATATATAATGGCTGTCTCACTTTCTGAGCTCGGGTGGCTAGCGCCAATCCCTGTTGTAGACAAATGCAAATGCTAAGGCATTGTTCAGCACTCACAGAGCTCACTTAAGGCAGAGCCCCTTACAGCTATACTGAACGGGCCTTAGTTAATGTTTCTGGGAGTGAGTGCGTAATCTGTACGCTCAAAACGAACGGTCTAATGCGACCACAAAAATAAATAAATAAATAAACATAACGTACCCGCCTTATGCTAAAATAAGTGTTTTCAAAATTTATCCCGATTTTAAACTAAGACAAAAAACTTGAATTCACGGATATCGATAATCCTACAGACAATGTTTTTGGAAATAAAATTGACGATATTATGTTCCTTCTCAAGAGAGGGTGTCTACAATCCTCACCGAATTCCACTTGCATCTGAGGAAAATTAATCGTATTTTTAACACTAAAACGATTGATTTACTTTAAAATAGAATCATTCAGTTTGTTTTGTTTTGGTTTGGTTGGTTTTGTGTAGTGGCACATCAACACTACTATGGGTTATTTAATGCCTAAATCTAAATATTTGGAACATAATTTTATGGCTTCAACTAAATATACTTCGAACGCAATTGTACACCTTCAACTACAAATAAAATGTATTGTTGGTCATTTTACTATAAAAGCTTATTAGTGAAATTTAGGATTTCTCAGTTTTCTGTGAATCGATTTTGATAAAACTTTTCCCAGCTAGTTTGCATAATATCGTTAGATTTTTATTATTCTATGTAACGTCCTTTACTTTTTTTTTATTTCAAATTCGATAGTTTAGGTGAACCGCGCTAATAGCTTTTGAATGAATATCGCCCATCTAGACGTTCTTAGGAGAAAATGAAAGCTAATGATCCATTAGCGGGGTTCGGCGAATATCAAAATTGTATTGCTGATATTTTGATATTAAAATGTATTTTTACACTTTAATAGTGTTTTTGTTTGGGGTAGATTCACTATTTGCTCATAGTTGGGACCCTAACAGGTGTTACTACCCCGGATCAGAGTGGACCTAGGAACAACAGCAATTAAGAGATGGTTCCAAGCTCCTCAAAGCCTCCAATCTCCTGATCTTTATCGTCATACCCAGGACTGGAATCATTCAAAGAATTTTAGCTTCCAGAATGCGTTTCGATCGACCATTTTTAAAAAATATTTATTGAAGTAGCGAGAGCAATAATAAAAAATTGATATTCTGTGTAAGTTTGAAACCCTAAACTATTCCGCTATCAAAAACAGCTGAAGAGAATATCTGTCCGATGAGAGACGCAATTGTTCTGGCAGACGACGTGGTGAGGTTAAAAGATAATGAACAGATGGATAATTATCTGGGTGTTGCCAGAGACGAGAGATAACCTGCGACGATTGTATAATGTATAGCGGGCAGGGAACTTTTTAAAGGAACCTTAAAAAATACCCACGAAGAAATCAAGATACGAAAAAGAATTTTATATATATATATATATATATATATATATATATATATACACACACACACACAGAGAGAGAGAGAGAGGGTGCGATGGATAAATTGTCGCATAAATTACGCAAACCTGAAAATAACATGGATATCTCATTGTAACAGATATATTTACCAAAATTACACAAAACTACGTCCTCCAGGCGACTTCGGAATATCCTCAACTCTTCTGGACAGTCTCCTTGTTTAAGTTGGTGAATGCTGCCATAATCCTTGCCTTTAGTTCTTCTTTGGCGTTACAAGGAGTTTTGTTGGTCTCTCGCTTACCTGTGCCTCAGACATAACAGTGAAAGGGTTGCAATCTGGGGGGTTAGGTGGCCAGATGTAAGGGGCGATGTGGTCATAGAAATTGTCTGACAACCATGGCTGTATTCTCCTGCTTGTGTGACATGGTGCAGAGTCCTGTAGCTAGATACGGTCATCCAGCAGACAACCTCTTGACCCAGGGCAGCACTACCTCCTCAAGGCACTTGATGTAGGCCACCATGTTGAGTCTGAGGTTCTGTGCGAAGATGACTGGAGGCATAACATCACTATCATTAGCGATCACTCCCAAAATGTGCGTGTAGTGTTATGGATATTACGCGCAAATACCCTTGGGATAGATATGGATCCACCTCCTCACCCCCCCCCCCAGATATGAGTTAATTAGTAAGTCATGTAACACTAAATGCTTATTATCTCAAAAACAAAAGTATCTTAATCTAAAAATATTTTCTGGCTTTAAATAACCTGCAAAGTGTGGATAAATCGTAGAAGATGAAACACCCACTCAAATGTATTCGCTAGATAGGATGTTTTTATTATTGGTGTGAGGGTGTTTTTTTTTTCTCTTTGTTGTGTACGCGTGTGTGCATGTGTGTATACGTATAATTCCGAGCCATTATTCATTACACCTTCCACACATCTAAGGTTGCAGCACCTGATGTTCCCAAGCATTCACCCATCTAGGTACTGACTCGGCTCGACGTTGCTTAACTTCGGTTTCGTACGGGAAACAAAGTTTCAATGTGATGTGGCCGTAAGATCTTTATATCACTCGCACATCCAAGCTTACTATTAAGGTATTCCCAATGCGGTCACCCATCTAGGTACTGAGCAGGCTCAACGTTGCTTAACTTCGGTGATCGTACGAAAACTAGCGTTTCGATGTGATTTGGACGTAAGACTTAATCTCTATCTAGAAAAGGCAGGATGTGTGTGTGTGTGTGTGTGTGTGTGTGTGTGTGTGTAACGAATGCACGGCCGCAATTTTCGACGGATTTGCACCAAAATTTACATACACATGCTCCAAGTTAGAGGGAAGGCCAAGACCGACTTTGGATTTCCCAACTCCCATCGATAGTGGAAATAATAGATTTTTTTATGCTTCTGCGGTAGTTTTCATGTAGTTTGCGGCCATTTTGTATTGGCCAGAGTGAGAGCCTATAGCTGGCTGCCACGAATAGGCAGGAAGATTCTATTGGGCAGCGTGAGAGTCAACAGCTGACTGACACGAATGTTAACTAGCATGCAAAAAAAATCGATAGCTGCATTCGTCACAAGTGGGAAAAATTTAAATCTGCATGGCACTTTACTCCAATTGGCTCATTCGCTTGCTTAAACTCAACGTTGATTCTGATTCCGCAGAACTGGGTTGAGTATGAAAAAGTATTTGTTGTTAACATTCTTTTTTTTCATTCGGTTTTTCCAGTTACGAGTTTTTTTTAAAGCTGATCGTTTTGTGTTCATTTTGTTTAGTTCTTTTTTTCGTAACAGATTTAATGTTTAGTATAGAGGTTAAAAAAAAATTCGCATGTGAGATAGGCAAGAAGTAAGGCATGTAGCAACATCAACACGGCAAAGGGCACTCCTTTAAAAAGCAAGGAATGGCAAAAATATTTTAAGTCAAGTGATAGCGATTGCTGTATGAGTCGTACGATTTTTGAATCAAGCATGGGCAACGCCGGGCCATACTGCTAGTCTCTTATAAACATAGGCTGCCAGGGTTTCTGAAAATACAGTGAAACCTCGATTCACGGATTTAATTCGTTCTTGAAGGCAGTTCGTAACCCGAAATGTTCGTAAACCGAAACTATTTTCCAGTAGGAATCAATATAGAGAAAAAAATGTCACAGTACAATAAAATTGGAAAAAGAAAACCACGTTATAACACACGAAAGTATACAACACGGCAGTCGACTTAGAAATTATTCCATTCTTGTTAACGCGGTTCGGCTATGTTGTTCGAGAATCGAAATTTTGTTCGATAACCGAGGTATTTTCATGTCGAATTTTTTGTTCGAAAACCGATTTGTTCGATATGTGAGGCGTTCAACAACTGAGGTTCCTCTGTATGTGAAAATATTTGAAATAGCAAAATACACAATACTAAATGAAATAAGGAGTTATGGTAGTTCCATCATTAAGCAAAGTCAAATGACTGCTGAAAAGCACTCTGTAGGATATAGATATAACTAAAAACAAAAATATTTCTCTATAAGTTGTTTAGAATTTGTTATAATATAGTTCACGCATTCAAGTTTTGAGAGCCATTCTTGGTAGAGCGTTACTCTTAAAATTGTTATGATGAATGAGGTGTGTGATATGAATGAATGAAAGAGGTGGTCGAGAGTGAAGATTATGCGAATAAGAAGGATAGATAACGATTGGCTATTGACTCAAAGAGGTTAAGATTGTAGTGCTCAGAGAAAATATCCATACGGGAGTCTGTTCCACAAAGTAGCAGTCCTTGGGAAAGCTGCTAAGTGGAAATTCTTCTTGCATTTTGGTTTCTTTGTATTCGAACACGGCTTTCTCTCGTGGGACAGCGAGAAGTCATTGCCTTGGCCCGCCAAGATGAAAATAGATCTGACGACATTGAAAGCCGATTAAAATGTCAAATGAAATAAGGGAAGAATAAAAAAGATATTACCAGTAATAACGTGACATACTTGATGGGCATCTTGTCACCATTTTACAGTAAATTACGAAAATGATATGGTTCAGTCCTTGTTCTGAGTACGTATTTTTCTTAAAGGTAATTTAAATACATTTCTTACTCAGTATATTTTTCACTGTATGGTCACGATTGATATAACAAATGATTTCCATCGTTGAACTTATGGATTCGATTCATGGAATCTCATCCTGTCTATCATTGATTTATGCATTAAGCTACCGAAACAAAAAGATTGGTAATTATGGATTTGCGTCACATTTTCAGAATCCTTCTTCATTTTAACCGAATTCTTTATCTGCCGGAGTAGCTACTGATGTCACTTAATCAGAATTGTAAAGGAACGAATTAACAACGGTAATCAGCCGTGATTAACGCCATGTTTGAGCTAATGAAACAAGGTCGCTAGCATATTTAGCAACAAGCTACGATTGAGTAAATGATATAATAATGGCGCCATTATTTGTACTTGTATATAGATTTGGGGAGGTGGATCGGGCTGAGAACGTTTCAAAACCCCTTCGTGTATATGTACACACACACACACACACACACACACACATATATATATATATATATATATATATATATATATATATATATATATACGCACGCACGCATGCAAGCATACGCACACGTGCACACACGCACATATATATATATATATATGTTAGGGGAAGCTAAGTTCTCTCCCTATAAAGGACGATAACTCAAAATAATTTTTTTTTACTTTCCTTGTCGGCCAGTCGGAGCGTGGCACTTCTCTATTCATTATGGTGACAATCTGATATGTACGTGAGTGGAATTCTTGGCCTAACTCCAAACTAAATCTTGCCGTTCTAGGGCAGTAAATGAAGAAATGTTGTCATTATGTGTTAAAACACACCTGTGTTTTATTTTCATTCGTGTTTGTTCATTCCAACAACCTGGGATATAACAATATATATTGCGGTTGCACCAATTATTCGGCTCATTCATACATACAAAATTACACATGCACACGAATTTAAACACACATAATTTGCATGTACATCATACACACAGCACAGTTGAAAAGAAACACACACAAAGGTGAATAAACACGCAGATGAAAACAGACAGACACAGAGCATCAAATAAAGAAAAGTAATAACGTTTAAAATACGTTGAAAATTGTCATTGTGCATCAGAGTTCATTTTACGCAGGTCCCAAGGATAAAAAAAAATGTCCCTCGAGAGAGAATAAAAACGTCATCCTGAGGGTAGCAGTTTAAACAAACGCTACCCGGCATGCATGCTGTCTTTCATTGTTTTTTCCGCTGATGGAAATGGAAATGGTCTTCAAGGAGGGCAGCCCAATATTTTCTGGTCAACATCTATCATCCTTTGGAGAGTTCTTTTAACCGCTGCCGAGCTGATGGAGTACCAAACAGTGATGCCGTACGCCAGCACACTCACAATACAGCAACGGTAGAGGGTCATTAGTAGCTTCCTTTGTAAATTATTTTTCTAACTCTTTTTGACTATCTTTTTTTTTTCTGACTCTCCCTAGACTAGTAATGCCATCACGCTATTATTAGTCTGGGGTGGGGGGAGCTTCTGCAATGTACGGTTTCCAGAAATTTTATCCACTATCTCATCTCAAACCCAGGTTGATTTCTTTTTTTGTCGTTCTTTTCCCAATTTATATGCAGATATAATCTTTCGTTTTTAATGTTCTTTTTCTATATATATTGCCGGACTTATCCAGCAATATATATAGATATCTGTCTATATTTCTGAGATGAGGTATTATGTACATTATTTACATTATTCGGACTATTGTCTCCATCTTTGTCGCCATATTTATCCGATCCTTCAGTATCTGTCTATATTTCTGAGATGAGGTATTATGTACATTATTTACATTATTCGGACTATTGTCTCCATCTTTGTCGCCATATTTATCCGATCCTTCAGTATCTGTCTATATTTCTGAGATGAGGTATTATGTACATTATTTACATTATTCGGACTACTGTCTTCATCTTTGATAACTGACATCCATCAAACATGGCACGTGGAACTAGAACAGTCTACCCCAGTGAGCGAAATAAAGGGTTCAGTTCGAAATTTCAACCACCTGAAGAAAGCCGGAGCGTACAACGGCCGAAACGTTGTGATAAATATGGTGACAAAGATGAGGACAGTAGTCCGAATAATGTAAATAATATATACAGATATGTCGATATCACTTCATTTTTACCTCCCTTTGCTAAGGTCCCATGAGCTATCTCCTATTACGTCTTGTTTTTTATATTTGTTATCCCAATCTCATCTCTCATCTAGATTTTAAATATTTGTTCCTGTTTGAGATTACTTTTAAGAAACAATTTTTATCAATAACTAGTTTGGCTCCTGCATAGAGATATTTAGTAATTGGTCAAATAGTAGAGTAGACTAGTGTCATGAACGCGAGTCAGTACAGACTCAAAAGAGGCCCTGACTCGTGTGCGGACATGTCTGTCGAAGCTAGTCAAAACCGGGTTTTCCCCGTTAGCAGTAGAGCAGTATGGTATGTCCAGATACGCGCCTCTCTGAAACTTGTCCAGATCTGGGACTTTGTCAACTGTTGCATGTCAATAAAAGCGGCAGGAAAACCAACAGAAGAAGTTGCGTGCTGCCTGCTGTTTTGGCATCATTCTGAAGTTAATCACTAATCATTACTCGAACCTCCCTCTCTTTCCCATTGGTAATTTTAAGAAAACAATCGGTTAGTGTTCCCCCCAACCTCAACAACCTTAAAGCTTTTTGATGGCTTTTAGTCACAAGAAGGATTCTAAATTGAAAACGGTGAAGGAAGCAACGAGAAACCCCTCTTTAATCTTTCCCAAGAATTCATGGAAATTCAAAGATAATTAAAGGAAAAAAGAGTTTGTGGGGAGTCATGATTACCTGAACCCTTAAAAAAATATTACGATCACTGAAGTTGCAACATCGAGCCTGGAGACAAAACCAGGAGCTTAAAGTGGAGAAAAATAATGGCTCGGAATTGTTAACTAGGGCAAAGTTGCAAAATAAGTTCTACCGCAGATACCCTTGTCAAAGGCATGAGATATCCATTAAAACAACACATGGCACGTAGAACATCACAATGAAGAGAAAAATAAACAATCTACCTTTTCGTATATTGTGGATGAAATAATTACGATATATCAATCCTTGTTAGGTAATTTCATGTCGAAATCGAATTACTTTTAATAATTGAA